CATGTTGGTGCTAGAAATATAGGATATAAATAAAACTGAGAACTAAAATATATGTCACAATTCAGGCAAGTGTCTGACTGTCGTACAAGAAATATATGCAGCACAACTTATGTTAAAATTTGACTGGTTAACAAATTGTGAAAGGGAGGGGGAACTTATGAAAGGGAACCATTCTGTAGAAGTTCCATACCTGTTCGACTCGAGAATAGTTTTGCTCGTATTTACATTTCCACCGCTCCTTAAAAATTGTGTCATGTTATTACAGGCTTGAAGCTAAAATCTATTGGGCTTATATCTGGAGGTAAAAATGATGGTGATTCTATTCAAAATTTAATCTTGTACGACCAATTTGTGAGATTAAATGGATGACAGCAAGTTACAATTTGTGTAACGCGAAACTGATAGAATTACGGTTGTATTACAATAAACTTATCTTATGGTGCATACATACTTGATGTAAAATACCGGTTTATGATAATCAAGAGTGGAAAAATACACTCATTTGGTTCTATAATTTCCGCCTCGCTTTCTTTTTTTTCATTGAGGTAATCTCTGGCCAGACCACTTCTTTCGACCTCTGCAATAGCAGCATCTCCAGAAACCAGCTACTAAATTTTACAACACAAGTCTCAGATACAGCATAATCCTTTCTCGATATTTTCCTCTCCTTAAGCAGTGCGATTAACTTCAGTCTATGCATTGCTTACATGCACGTATACTGAGTGGGTAAGATTTGATAAGGCTTTATATTTGTTTTTTGTTAAAATTTTTCAACAGCCTCCAAATCCTGTCCCTATCAGACAAATGTTTATAGCAGCATCCCTGTCTTGTGTGCACCCTTAGGCAAGGAAAGCGCTGGTAAACCATAGTTCACTATGACAGAATTTGATTCTACTTACTTACATACTTACTTATGGAGCTAAGCCCTTCTTGAGGAGAAGCCAAGTCTGCAACTACTCAAGAATTTCCCAGAATTTTATGGAACCCTAAGGTTTCACAAGAGCCCTCCACTGGTCCCCATCCTGAGCCAGATAAATCCAATCCATACCATCTCATCATATCTTTTTTAAGATCCATTTTATTGTCCACCCACATATGCCTTGGTCTTCCCAGTGGTCTCTTTCCTTCTGACTTTCCCAACAATATCCTATATGCATTCCTCTTCTCAACCATTCGTGCTATATGCACTGCCCACCTCATTCTCCTTGTCTTGATCGTTCTAATTATACTTGGAGAAGAGTACAAGTTGAATTTAATTCTTTCGCGATAAAAATTTTTTGGAATTCATGTTTGGTGCGCCTTTAAAAAATGTATAGCCCTTGTAAATGTACGTGTTGCACCCCCGACCCTGGAGAAGCTGAATGTCGTAACGATTAGATTACAATTTATGTAGGTCTATTTCTTTCATCGTCTGATCAAGAAGCATCTACTTGTATAGAGTCCTGAACTCTGTTTTCATTCATTATTTACTATTGCAACTTGCTTTCAGATATTTAGGTCTATATCTACTTTGCTTTGTGGTTCTGAAATGTAATTCATCAAAATTCTGTCATATATTTTGCTGCCTATTAAACTATGTTTCAAGGACAAGGTGTAGATATTTCTGTACAAATGAGTGTAATAATCGAATTTGTTTCTCTGAATGTTTGTGTGAATTGTTGAGTTTTATGACATTTTTATATTGGATAATGTTCAGAGCATACTACATAAGCTATTGCAAAATCCTGAGTACAGTTATAAAAGAGGTTAAAAGGCAGCATTACTGTAGGCTTATGGCAAAATCGAATAATCAGATTAAAACAATCTGGAATATAATAAAACATGAAACAGGAAAATCACATCTGACTGAACAGATACCATCTCCTTATAAGTGATGAAAAAGTTATGGACCCAGGAGAAATTGCAGATGCCTTAAATACATTTTTCCTAATGATTACAGGAAATCTAAACTTGCATCAAGAAGTGACAAATAATGCCATTTCATTTTTAAGAGAGGCATTTCCTAGAAAATTCTCTGGTATTAAAACCATTCCAACCACTGAACTGAAATAAAAAGTATAATACAGTCCCTCAAAACAAAAATTCTTCAGGTTATGATGGAATAACAAGTAAAATTTTAAAAATTTGTGCATCTCTAATCAGTAGCCCATTAACTCACATCTGTAATCACTCACTATCCACAGAAATCTTTCCTGGCCAGTAGTAAGACCACTATATAAAAAAGGGGACAAGACTAGTATATCAAACTACAGGCCAATTTCACTGCTAACTACTTTCTCTAAAGTATTTGAAAAAGTTATGCATAATGGGTTAAGCCATTATTTTCAGAGTAACAATATACTAGTCCCAGGACAGTTTGGCTTTAGGACAGTAATTTCCATTGAAAATGCAGCTTTTAAATTAACAGACACTGTGTTGAAATCTATTAATCAAACAATGCATGTTGGTGGAATATTCTGTGACTTGGCAAAGGCTTTTGACTGTGTAAATCATGAAATATTATTAACTAAATTACATTCTTTTGGCATTCAAGGAACAACCTTAGTTGGTGGAATTTCCTACCTAACAGACAGAAAACAAAAGACATAAAAAAAGAAAAACAAAAGAAATAAAATCATCAAATTCAATCAAAAGTACCTACTCAAACTGGGGAATAATAAAACATGAAATTCCACAGAGGTCAATTTTGGGGCCTTTGCTTTTCATAATTTATATAAATGACCTCCCTCCTACACTAAGGACCTCATGAATACCTATAGTATTTGCAGATGTCACTAGTGTTATAATTTATGGTAAAAATTTAGATGATTTCTGCATGTTATCAAACAAGGTTCTTTCGCAAATGAGTAAATGGTTTTCTGCAAGCAAGCTGTCCCTGAACATAGAAAAAACAAATGTAATACCATTTATAACAAAAAAACTCACCACAGTATCCATTAAACATTTGATATAATGATAAATATATAGAAGAGAGAGTAAACACAAAATTCCTTGGCTTGCAAATTGATAATCATTTCAACTGGNATATATATATTCATTAATAAACTTAATTACAAATAATGAAGAACATTTTCAGACGAATGCGAATGTACACAGTGTTAACACAAGACACAAACACTGTCTTCATAAACCAATTGCTAACCTCTCGTGCTTTCGGAGAAGCACATATTATGCTGGGATCAACATTTTTAATAACCTGCCATCTGATCTCAAAGGTCTTATGAATGAAGAGGCACAATTTAAAATAGCACTGAAACGATACTTAAATACACATTCATTCTACTCTGTTGATGAATACCTATTGTCTAGAAAATAACTTATGTATCTTTAAATAGCCTTGTGTGTAGTCACTGTGTATTCTTGGTTTCTGTTGTGTGAGAACTCCATTGGGACTGTACATATGTTTTGTATTTATATGACATATTCCACATCCTACAGTCATTTTGACTAACTTTGGATCCATGGAATGCAATGCTATTTTATGTTATGTTACGTTATGTATATCTTATCTAGGGCCAGAAGGAAAGAACCACTAGGAAGTCCAAAACGTAGATGGGTGAACAATATTAAAATGAATCTTAGTGAGCTAGGATGGGATGGTATTGACTAATTGGGCAAATCTGGCTCAGGATAGGGACCAGTGGAGGATTTTTGTGAGCACTGTAATGAACCTTCGGGTTCCATAAAATGCTAGGAAATCCTTGAGTTGCTGCACAATCGGAGGCTACTCAAGAAGGGCTTAGCTCCATGAGTGAGTGAGGCTTACACAATTTTCAGACGTATGTGCACCAGCCCTTACCTGACTGAAAGACACCAAAGGCAGTACAGTCAACTTTGGAAGAATTATATACTGATCTATTAACTGCACCAAAGACAATGGGCAACAACAACTTTTTATTTGTGGTTTATTTAAGGATGTTAAATAGTTGCAGAAGTTTTATAATGTCGAATAATGGAACAGGAAGGAAAAATCAGTCTCCTACATTAAGAAGTGTCCCAGTATTCCTTTGCCCTAAGGCTTTCGACATGAAAGGAACCCAGTGTATAGCTTTGTACGTTTTTGGCATTACAATAACCAGAAGTTGCAAAAATTGTCCTACCAGCTTCGCCATATCTATATGTCTGTCCGTCTGTCCGCAAGTATTAACTCAAAAACCGCTCTACAGATTTTAATGAAACTTGATGCTGGTGCTTATCTTTAAAACTGGTAGACACTTTTACATTTTATTTTAACTTGAGCATTAGCCTATCCACGTGTGGACCCAAATAGGAATTAATTAATGAAAGTTTAAAAATGAACACCTACGCATATTTTTGGGTCCATGTCAAGCGTAACTCGCTGTTTGTCTGACAGAAAAATATTTCGGAAAGAGCTCTAAAAGCAAATTAAAAGCACACTTCATGCGCTAAATAAAATTCAAGTCTTACGGTTTTCGAAATATTAAAAAAAAAAAAAAAACGCGAAGTTTCCAGAATACGTTTACGCTATGCCTACAGTTTATAACTTGATAAGCCTGCTATATTTTGGACTATCCCATTTTATATTCTGTATTAAACTGTGGCTTTGAGCATGAAAGAGTTGAACAATATGTCTAAGTGCGCATTTTCTAAAGCTCCAGCAATTCACAATTAAGAGAAACTACCGGTTTTTGTATGCTGCCCTGTTGACATTAGAAATATATAGAGCACAAAATATACATTACAGAGAAAATAACGAAACATTATACATGCTCATTGAGGAAAGAAAGACTAAATATATTTGCGAGATGTTTATCCACTGTACAAGAGCCCAGGAATTCAGCTTTGTTGTCTCTTGTTATTTCTTTTTAACTCAGATGCCCTTTGCCCTCAGGTAACCTGCTACATCAAACAGGATGCATTGCGAACACAAGAACTGCGTCTAGTTGAACTCACATTCACACATGAGCGGCCACACTAAGGGGTAAATATTTAGTTGCAAAAGGAAGCGAGGGAGAAAATAAATATTGCCTGTTACTCACCGATGTGATGGTTAAGGGCACTCGATCCAACAGGCTACATACATCCTATCTTCAGGCAGGGATATGCCTATTGAGATTACACTTTCTGAAATTAAATACGAAAGAATTTTTGCAGAAACTAATATGATGAAGGATGAAGCTAAACAGGAACAAGAATTGCCCGAAGGCACTCCAGCTGTAACTGATATAGGAAAGGTAAATTTCCCCTGCCTCTATCCACTACTTGAAGGAAATTCTTTGCTTTCCAGACCTCGGCACTAAGTGGAAGTGAATAAGTTTCACGTTCTGACCGCTTTACCCTCTTTCGTGTTGCTGATTTTTTAATACGAAATGAAAATGTTTCATATATTTTCACAAACACATCTCTTTAGGCCGTGTCATAGCTCAAGCGATTAGTCGCTGCCTTCTCACCGCGGCGGCCCGGGTTCAATCCCGGGTCTGGTCAATTAGGATTTGTGGTCGACAAAGTGGCGCTGTGGCGAGTTTTCTCCGAGTACTTCGGTTTCCCCTGCCAACCTTCATTCCACCAACTGCTCCACAATCACCCTCACCTATCATCTGGGGCTGGTACAATAGGCCAGAAGTGGCCTCAGTACAAGGGACTTAGTCCCACCCCACTAGCAATAAAAAAAGATAACTAATACAGTGTAATTAAAAGTAAGTAAGTAAAGGTATCCCTGTAACAGGCCGTGGAGGCCCATAGGGTTGTGAGATGTTGAGGTTTCCACATTTTCTAGACAACCGGCTCATAGATGGAGGCAAGGTTGTCAGCCTTACACACCTCCCGCCCTTTAACCCCAAGAATATTCCTGATACTCATTTCTATTAGAGGCTGANATAGATGGAGGCAAGGTTGTCAGCCTTACACACCTCCCGCCCTTTACCCCCAAGAATATTCCTGATACTCATTTCTATTAAAGGCTGAGTTGACCCCATAGTGCGGCTGGAAGGATTAGGTCAATTGAAAAAATCCAATGACCTCATCGGGACTTGAACCCGCGACCTTCCGGCTTGTAGCATAGTGCCTCAACCAACTACGCTATCATACATTGTAATTAAATAAACAAAATATAGACAATAGTTTTATTGAATTCTGTTATATTTAACATGCAATCTAAATAAAGCTTGCTGTACTAAAGAATCACACATTATTGCACACACTGTAGGACTGATCTACACGAGTGGCAATGTTTACCTTGCTTGCCGACTGCACCGCAAATGCCTAGCACAGTATATTTGAAAGAGACAACGAAACCCACAATCATACGCAGCCAAGCGAAATGTTACCTAGCTCAAAAAAGCAGGAAAACATCAAAGAAACAAATGATATTTTACAAAACGAGAAGGAAAACAAGTTGGCAGACCGAATGTAATATTGTTAAATATACCAAAGTATCTTCATTTGAGATCAAAAGCTGTAATATGAGTCACAGAAACGCATTAGCTCAAGGGCTATACCCTGCCCCCCTCCGTCACTTCAGTTGGCCTTGTTTATGTTCCTAAACAAGACATAAGTAACAGTCACATTTGTTCCTTTACCTTTTATATTTTTCCGCTAGTAAAAGAGAGATCAAAGACTGTGAGAGATATCTGTTACAATGGCTTAACAAAAGCTTATATCTTGAGGCAAACTGTGTTTTATATAGCCGGCTTGTGAAACGCAACTGCAGTGTAGAGAAGGGAGAAAACTTGCAAGGCTTTACAGACCTTGAAATATTCTGCATTTCACTGTTTGTATACTATGGTCATTCTTTCTTAATCAAACAAATAAATAAACAGAATAACACGAGAAACCCAGAAATCTATATGCTTACCTTGATTCAAATTCAATGCAGTCGCCTTGAAATTTGTGTGCCATCTCACTGTATAAATTACACTCTTACCGACACAGCGAGTTTATTAGGTTATGATCCTCACTATAACCGGATGTCCAGTTCGACATATAAGGTGATTACTTCGATATCTCTAGACAAAACCACACGCCACAGAACAGAGAGGGAACATGATACTTTCTACGCGGAAATGGAGACGAAGGGAAGTTCGAAAAGTCGCCGCTAGGACAAGCTATAATAATCAGATCTAAGCATTTTGGCTTCAAAATGTATCAAGGTGTACAGAAATACAACGGGATTCATATTGCTTCACTAAAGGAATAAAGCAACAATCGACGCCATGGAAATGCCCACAATCGCTAAGCACAAAAAGAGCTCGGAAGGTCCAAAGTTCAGCAAAGAACATGCTCATTGTTTTTTCGACGTGAAGGGGTTTGTTCACTGTGAATTTGTTCCTCCTAACACTACGGTCAAATCTTGACTTCACTGTGACGTTTTGAGACGCTTGAGAGAAAATGTACGACGAAAAATCCGGAACTTTGGCGCAACCACAACTGACTTCTTAAATCATGATAACGCGACCGCCCACACGACCCTGAAAACCATAGAGTCTGTGACTAACAACAACATGGTTATCATTCCCCATCCTCCCTACTCCCGGACTTGGTCCAACGTGATTTCACTTTGTTTGCCAAATTGAAAATTAAACTGAAGGGACGGCGTTTAGAAAGAGTGTCTGGCCACCAAAGGGAATCACAACCGGTACTCGACAGCATTAAGGAAATTAATTCCATAGTGTTTTTGAAATGTAGAAAAAACGAAGGAATTGCTGTATACGTTCCCAATGAGACTATTTTGAAGGAGATGGTAGCCAGAATTGAGTAGGTTAATCCAGCATTTCTTTTTTGACCTAGTCAGGGAACTTTCCAATAGAACATCGTATAAGCAGTCGAAGCAGTTAGTTTCTGTAAACAGTGTATTACTGCAAAGCAAGCCAATGATTACATAAATAAGATATGATACGTTATAAAATAATAGTATTTCGTGTGTCTGTCAAGAAATGTCCTTGACGAGAAGGGGGAAGAGTGAAATGATCGCTCGGTCGTTACCCCCCCCCCTCTGTACCCTCCCCCATAGCACTGTCCCTTTGACGGTAGCTGCCAGGTCAACCCTGACATTATTCATTTTTACACGAATGAACTTCAGCTCAGCGTCTTCACAGACCATCTGAAGTGAACAACGGGATGGAAACACGGTCACATCGACAAGGAGCAAAACAGACGGATCATAAGGTGAAGCTCATTGGACAGATATGCAACCACGTTCAGGTACCGTCCTTATGTGCAAAGTTCCCCTCATGTTTCTTTTCTTTCGACTACTTAAACACGAAAACCTATATTTATAGAGCTGCTATAGAGAAAGATACATGAATAATTACTATATATGAGTTCATGATAATTTGAAGACCAAAATTTCTGATAGCATATGATCCTCTAGTAGAAGCCGGGACGTCTCGGTAGGTATATCGATTAGTTACGCGCTGGGCGTACGGGGTTCGATTCCTGGTAAGAAGTTTTCTCTTCTCCACAGCGTCCAGACCGATTTTGAGGCCCCCGTATCCTCCTATCAAATGGGTACCGGGATCTATTCCCCAAGGAGTTAGTTTCATTTTTACGACACATTTTAATGTGGGGGGCTTATATTTCAGTTTGGGCCACAAACAGACGTAAAACAAATTTGGAACCCCTGTTTTTGTTTAATCTTTCTAGCTACTTCTTGTAGCTTTAAGATCAGAGGATGCACCAAGGAAGAACGGGCAGTAGATATACCTACACGAGGATTTCGTTCACTTGGACACCTCGAGCCTTTCTACGGAAGAGACTAAAGCCCAGTAGGAAGATAAGAGTGAACAGAGAAAATAGTCCAGTGAAGAATGCAAGCAACCGCAGGGTAATGCGACATAACTTCAAGAAAACGCTAAAGAAAGAAAGTTTAGGAGGAGGTACTGAAAAGCCGACAGCGAAAAGAGCAAGGCCGTTGGGAGGGGATGTTAGAAACATCTCAGTACCAATTTAATTCGCTACATTAACGCCATATTTTCTCCAGTTTCGTACCTACCATTTGTATAAGCAAGTTCCAAGTTCGCTCTTTTCACAGTCTTCTAATTCTTTACATGGACAGACCCGTCTATTCACAGCGTGTACAGATCACCCGCGCGTCCTGTTTCGTTTCGTGTTCTGACAAAAGAGAAGGCATTTTCATCTTAAGGAACCTTTTCTTTTCTGACAACGTAAAACAGCGTGCTTAATGTGGATTGACACTCTACAAGATCAGGTTCGACCACCATACGATCATACACAGAGACAGATCTGCGAGTAACATGTGAGGGGCTAGGTACTGTCTTCTTGAAATAAAACCATACTGGAAACCTGGATTATATAGGATTTCCAAATACGTGTTTTCTTTTAACCTAGCCTTTCTGAGTGTTCCCAGCTGTACCGAATAAATTCGATACGGATGTTAACACTAAGTAGAAATTCCGTTAAGCTAACTGAGCCGGGATAGCTCAGTTGGTATTACAATTGGCTACTGAGTCGACGGCTCGGGTTCGATTCCCGGTAGGGTCAAGAACTTTCTCTTCCCCACAGTGTCCAGACCGGTTTTGAGGTCCACTCAGCCTCCTATCCAATGGGTACAGCGGGCGATTTCCTCGGGAATTAAAGCGGCCGGGGCTTGAAGCTGACCACTTACTTCCATCTAGTGCCTAAATCAATAATGGTGGAGCTATTTCTCCACTCCCGTATATATCTTCGTGGCATATCTTTGCCATTTTCGGTTTAACTAACTAAATTCATTCATTCATCAGTAATCTGTCAGACGACAGGTCCACAGTCTCTTCCAAAACAGTTCCTCCACTTAATGCGATCTAGAGCTTTCTCCTTCAAATGATAATATCCCCTTCTGTCCCCAAGATCATCCAGCATCTTCTTACGTCTTGTTCCTCATCTTCTGGTCACTTCTATCCGCCCCTCTATCTTTTCTTCATTAATTTCTTTTAACTAACTAAATACTGGAGTAAAACTCTTCTTGATAATATTAGGGTTAATTTCACCGACACAAGACTGAAGGGTTCGATTCCCGATATCATTGGATTTTTCTATTGACCTAATCCTTCCAGCCGCACTGTGGCCCTGGGGTCGACTCTGCTTCTAACAGAAATGAGTATCAGAAATTTTCCTTGGGAAAAAGGATGACTGACCCGTAAGGCTGACAGCTTTACCGCAATCTGTGAGCCGATTGTCTAGATAATGTGGGAGCTTCGACGTCTCACAACCTTATGGGCCTCCATGGTCTCTTGCAGGAATATATTTAGTTTTACCTACGTATTGTGACTAAAACATTGTCCATCGTTTGAAAACGGCTAGATAAACAAGTGAAATATTCCTAGGCCACGGCCGCGACAACAATAGAACTGCCGGGAGCCGTGCATTCTAAACAGCCCATGCCGAGGCTATATAACTGGAACCTCGGCAGGTCGTAACAAAACTTGGACTTTGATTTGAACTTGACCAATCATATTCATAAGAGACAAACCCATTTTCTCGTCTCGAGAGAACGTCACGTGAGGAGACCGCAAGAGTTCATTTGAACAGAAAGAGAGAGACTGTGGTCTTGAGCCGTAAGAGGCTTGATGCCAAGACGAACCGATTGGCGGTAAGTCGCCACTCGTAAAGTACCTGTGACTTACTCTGACTTGCTTGGCCAGTTGTCAGTAGTGAGAACCAGTGACGGGACAGTGACTACACAGTGATGCCATGAATTACGGCCTTGAGAAGTTGTGAGATGTTAGCCAGCCGGCAACAACGTAAGCACGAGAATAGAAGAATCTCTACTGTTGGGAACCGTAACCTAGCGACGCCTAGTGAAGACATAGAAGCAGTAATGTTCAGAGCAGTAATTTTTAAAGTGTGAGGATACGTGACATTCTTATAGTTAACTGTAGTCACGAGTTAAATGTCGACTTAAACCAGTTATTAATGCACACCATTTGTCTAGTCACTAACACGTCGCAGTATAGGAAAGCATCGTTCTTGAGGAATTTTTAACATAACTATATACGCTCTTAGCTTATGCCATGCTGCAAACTGCATATTTAGTCCAGAAACACAGTAAATTTCTGCAGTTAAAAACTCGTATATTACTAGTACATAAAATTATTTACTGAAATTATGAGGCTTTCTTTCCTGATGCAAAATTTTTACTTCAGCAGATCATTTTACATTCATTACAGTCCTGTAGATTCTAAAGGGGTCTGACGATGGTATATATAACACACAGAATTACTAGGTTTTTGAACTTTTTTTCCCATCGTCAGGTATTCTAGAGATATAAAATATGACGATTCGGAGACTGGACGTTTTCCAGTGATTGTGATTAGCTCTTTCTAAGGGGCCCAACTGAGTAGGTGTCTTCTTTTCTACTTCACCTGAGGTCGGAAACAGATCTAATTTCCGAAACTTCGTGTTTTATATTCTCTAGAATAGGGAACAATGGAAGAAATCCAAAAACTCAATAATTTCATGTGTGTCATTAGTGTCTTGTTTTATTTCTGCTACAATTTTACTGCTTAAGCGACCAATCCGTACATGTTAAATATATTGGATAAAACCTGAAAGTTTCGCTCCGTCTTTATGTTTGTATGTGTTGACTTTTAACAACTTTTCAAATGCAAGGTACAGGCATGTTTATGTTTTATATCCTTACCTCAATTTTTCTGTCTCGCAACAATGGATTCTTAGTCATCGCTATCAAAGCGAAAGCGAAAGAAAATATTCACACTGTTGTTATGCTGCTGTTTTACATACTACAAAACGCTGTTTTCTCATAAGTTAAACATTACTGGAAGTTTTATATCATAATTCATTTCGGGAATACAAATTTAGTGTCTGTATTATCACTCACAATTCTCAAGTTCACCGTCTGCCATATCAATTTTGTTGTTAGGAAAAGGTACAGTAAAGTAAAGCTATCCCTGTAACAGGCCGTGGAGGTCCAAAGGGTTGTGAGACGTCGAAGCTTCCACATTTTCTAGACAATCGGCCTTCCTTCACCTCATTTCTGTTATAGGCTGAGTTGACCCCAGGGACAAAGTGCTGCTGGGAAATTATGTCAA